GGTAGCTGTCCAATGAAGTGCGAAGACTTCTCCCACCGTCGAGAGGAAGCCCCAGGTACCCCGCTCCTACATCCATCCAACGGGGTTTTTTGACCGTTAAACTGCCGCTGACTGTGTTTATGTACTGGAGTAGTCTCTTCAAGGGCGGATGTGAAGGAAGCCATGTACCCAAGCAGCTGGCCTTGTGAGACTGATCTTCATCTGGTCTCTACCCGTTGACCTTTCAGGCATGATTGGATCTGCGGCAATGAAGTGCCATCCCGTATAGCTCGCAGAGTCACTGAGGAGAGCAAGCCGTCACACCATGTCAAGATGCAGTCTCGTTTTGATGTTTTCTGTCCTGTTAGAGTTCACACTAATTCTTATTTTCTCATGTTTGAACGGGAAATTTTTGCCAGTGAATATCTTCAAATTAGTTGCGTTTGCTTTTCCGGGTCGCACACGTGTTGCTCCGCCTGATAGATTTCTGGTGAAAGAAACGAATAAGCCGGGCGTTGTGCCGTGGAATATTATGCACGTTTCGTGTAGTTCTATGGCAAATCCAATAGACGTCTAATAAGTCTAATCGCTTATTTGGATACAATAATCACTGCCATATTTTTTATTCATGCACACAGGCACTTATCGTACTTGGTCTGGGAGCCGTGATTGTCGGGATTTCTAAGAGGAAGCGTTGGAGCAACATAAAATCGCGCAAATTGATGTACAAAAACCGTCCGATGCCAAAGGATGTGTGAGCACGGAGGTCAATGGTATCCATCGTCTGACCGAGCCCAGAACGCGAGCACAATGGTGGCATCCATCCTGTCATTTTCTCTCATCCCGCTCCCTTCCATCGTCTACCTCCACTTTTCATATCTTGAAACTGTACCCTATCACCTGTCAGCAACCGTGGTGATAGTGGGATCTGTTCTCACGGATCTTGCCGTCTAAGCTTTATACTCCTTTTACCTCTATTTCCTTTCTCTTTCTACTCCCAATCAGGTATCAAGGGGATCCTGCTTCGGGGAACCCCAACGTGAGAAATCCATGATCGTGATCACCCAAACTTGCAATCTTCCATTCTTATCTTTCACAAACTTCTAGTTCTGTTGAATTTGTTCTTCTCCCTCGTTTGCCTTATGCGTGCTCTCGAATCTGGATGTCCTCGTATATGCAACACGGGGTCTACTCGCACGGTCGGTCTTTGCGCTTTTTTACTTGTGTGAATAATTTCCCTGTGTACCTTTGGTACCCAAGCCTTAGCCTATCGATTGTAGCTCTGACCAATACCGCAGATGAAGTTAGACATTTGAGAAAAATGTTTTTTTTTCGTTAATTTCCATGGGCATTTTTTTTATAACTTTGAAGCAATGTCAAATTGGCTGGCACGTCAGTGTTCGTGTGTTCACCAGTGCGCGTTTAGGACGTTATGAACGAAGTTATCACATACAGTTAATTANNNNAAAGTTGCGTGAATATGCTTATGGGACTAGGAGAAACACGACTAATAATTGCCAGACCGCGCATGACAATAATAAAGCCTTTTTAAGTAGTCACGGAGGATCAGCAAAACATGATAGGAAACACATATGGTTGGATACTTCATTCTGAATTGTCTGAGGTCGCGTAGCTGGAAGATTAAGCCTCGTGGTTCACCAATACCAGTCTGCACATGGAAGGATCTCTATGGTATCTCTTATTTTTAGTGGCGTGTTCTGCTGATGAGTACTAAGGCGATTATTGAGGATTCGAAGTTTTTGGAAGCATCCAGCTGTTGAACTGCCTGCGCAGTGTCACCCGGCAAGGAGATTTTATAAATCAAAAGCTCTATTTTTCAGGAATTCAGCTTCACCATTAGCATTTTGTGGAATATTCTCCATGGCAAAATGTGTATTGCGATGAGGATAACATTGGTCGGTGACAGCTGGCCAAAGGCCCCGACCGAACCAAAAGTATGACGATGGTACTCTGAGATTCAACACGTACTTCTCAGTAGCTCCAAGTGTAGACGGGCGAGTGGGAACAAACAATTTCTCCCACGCCAACTAGATGCGGGCGTGCTCGGTGTACCAAAGAATGCAGAGCACAACTTGAGGTTCTCGTAATGAGTAATGTAAGAATGACTGGACAAAATCTACAAGCACACTGGGAGTTCAGAGATAAGAATGACTAAACAAAAGATTACCGGATAAGCGTAAAGGAACGCGAAACCCGTTGTGTGTTTGTCCAGGCGTTCGTAGACTGCTCATTATGAAAACGCCGAAAGTTAACCCTGGCGTATAAATGACAACACAATTAAATACAGAATCATCGCAATGATTCCTTGTCGCTTGTCCACCTTGATTCAACTCTCCGAGCTGCAAATGAGATTTGCGTTGCCTAGAACTTACACTTATTTGAGTTTTGTGCCATTTTTGAAAAGGGTTTAATATCACGGGCGCTTTTCTTCGTCTCAGCGTCTGGATCCCCTGGCGCATATCCACTCTAGATGGTGGGACTCTCAAGACAAAATATGAAACGTGTCGGAAGGGCAAATGCTGGAGGTTAGTTAAACCATATCTCAGAGTGCTCCGCTACGTATTCTGGGCACCGTCAGCTTCACAGATCGTTTAGCTGACAGGGTAGGCAGTACGTCTATGAAAATTAATAATGAAAGCACAGCTTCCAGACAGACGCGGTTCGATATTCATCTATTCTTCGAGTCCTCCGGAAAATTAGCCGTTGAAGTATGGTAAAAAGATGGAACAACTTTTAGAGAAGAGATCGTGAAATAGAATCGAAACAATAATAATAAAAAAAACATGTAGGGACCTTTTGGAAACATCTAAAAGATGATAAGTTGGTGGATATTGGTGAAGGGACAGTATCTGAGGTACACCTATTAGGCTTAAAAAACTAAGTTAATGGTTTGGAGAAATAATAGCCCACATAGGTAATTTAAACCCGAAGGATCTAATAGCGGTGGGACCAAGGCGTTTGTATTGAATACTAAACAAAGACTTTTGAATGGGAATGCTGAAAGATCTTCAGTACAAAAAGACTGAACATGCGTGTATTATAAAGGACTTAAAGATATCTGGTTTACCAGCGCCATGAAGTCGACCATCGGGACCTACGGCGCTCGTGATTACCCTAGTTCGGAGACGACGAAATACTTTATCGTAGTACACTGGTAGCGTAAGGTATGGAGGCAATCATTAACAAGAAACAAAAGCAGCACCGGGGCTGTCCACATCAATGCCTAATTGTTGACCCACTCTTTTTTTCGCACAACAATCTGATCTCCCGGCACAACCGTTTTCCGAATTCCTGTTTTGCTTGATTGAAAAAGGGGGAACACCAAACGGGAGTAAACCTTGTTAGACTGGTAATAGGTGGATTTCGGTGGCTTCAGCTTGAAAGAAAATATGAGGTCGGTTACTAACATTTGTCTAATACGGCATCTCCAGTGTACGTTAAAGAGAGAACTGCCCAACCATTTGAAGTAAATCATCATTAACAATGGGAGTAATTTAAGGAGTAGATTCAACGCAAAAGAGGTTGAAACCGACTCCCCAGGTAGTTCATCGAGCTGGATATTCTCTCACTTCGATGAGGAGACGGCAGTGAGTAGGGATTCTCGGGCAGAGGATATTTTATACACTTGATTGGAGATGCTCCAGGATTATATTTGATCCAACTATCGAAAATTCACAGTCATTTTGTCTTCCGGAACCAAGGTTCAACGATGCTTGGGAGGGGGAGGGAGATTCATTGTTTATAACTGTCTCCACTGCATTCTGTTTATGATAACTTTCAGATCCTATCGCAACCTTACACTACATTTTCAGTGTCAGACGATTCAGCACCTAACGCGGGTGGTACTACGCTACATTTAAAGATTGAGCGTTGTTTTCACGACTACAAACCAGATAGTCATTGTGCGCAGCATCGACGCTTCAGTAGTAGTGAATAGTAAGTTCATTCTTGCAAAAGGGCCAATTTTCATTGACTGCACTGATTATGATTGAACTTTCGCAATCTATCAGAAACGCTTGTTTCTGTGCAGGACAGCTTTTATTGTTCATCCAGATTTTTTTAAGGGAGATATCGCGCAGAAGAAAAGCATTGATTACCAGATGCCCAGGCTTTGCAGTAAACGCGGAGGCAGCGGTGCACTTGTGGCAATTGAACAGACAACGTTAGCTTAACACGTGTTCGCAGATAATCCCGCTTTCATTTTTCCAAACTGAATATGTTGTATATTGTCAATTTTTCGAAGGAAGGACCCGCTCCCTAGCACATGTGTGTTGGAGTCATCATCGCTTATCACCAGCCCCCATTTCCCCGTCCCGTTTGGTGCCAAAAGGAGAACAGATGCGTTATTGGAAAAGTGGACTGCATGGCGTTCAAACAAACAAAATAATACTGTTTCAAACAAGTTTCCAAAGAACCGAGACCGGGGTGGCTTTTCGTCAAACAAAATTGACCGGACAACGAATTTCGAGCGCCAGATGAAAAGCAATGCAATCACTTGTACTATGAACAGTATTATCAAAACAGAAACCAATAAATAAATATAAGTGAAGGTAAAATGAATCCCGGTATCTGACCAATATCCTGGTGTGTGAAAAAGGAGCCAGGGGCGGAGGGAACGGACATATCCACGCAAGTGCCGACTATTGCAATATAGGCTCATCTGGTTCAATATGGTATGGGAAGATGAAAACGAAGCGAAATGAGTAAAGGTGGGTGGTAGGTAAAACATAAATATGGAAATCATAGAGACGAATTTGGTCTGGGAAGAAACAGGTTTGTGGGGTGTTAAGCATTGGATTGAGCAGATGAGGTCGGATAGATTCGGCACAGCACAGCCTGACCAAATCGAAGAACAAGCTGCATGAGCCAATTGACCGGTCCCGGGAGCCATGGGTATTGTAAACTCTCCAGCATGCGTGACCACAAAGCGGGTGGATTACTGGTAACCAGCAGTGTCAAGGTTTTCTATTTACAAGCTTTAATTTTAATAAGAAGCTACTCAAGTGGGGGTTCTTTCACATTTTCTAATGATACAGTGAAATTATGAAACCAATCAACATAGATCAAAAATTTGCAAATTAACAATCATATATGTGGTAACCCACGCAAAGCACACGCTGCGTATCCTGCATGCATCTGGTGGGACCATGCAGTTCATTTACTTCATCCTAATTAGGGTTATTCTATATAGGCCGACTTTTGTCGACGACAAAAAATGTACCCATTAAAATAACGACGAAAATGTGTGAATGGCGGGAAAATTGATCGTGAAAGTTGAGAAAATGATCGTGTGAAGGTGGCGAGATTGGTTTTGCGAGATTTATTCATACAATTTCCCACGAATTACAGTTCGAAAAAGAAGTAAGCGTTTCCTGGTGATTTATGCACTGATTCAGTGAAATATAACAAACCGGGTTGTGGCGGTACCACTGTCACCGGCGTGCTTTTAACCTTATGCTTCTAGCCCCGGTTTGCTGTAATCCGGTTCAATATCGTGTCTAAGTTCACGAGGCTGTATGCGGTTGGCCATTCAAAACCCCGGGTTCAGGTTACCGGTTTCCATCAATGAACAGCAGGTTCTCGTGTTTACGGGGTTTATCCCGTCTGCTGTTCATCACACTAAGGTGTGTAATAAAGAAGTAAGTAGTTGCAATAACATCAACGAATCCTAAATAATCGTCACAAGCTACTCAAAGATCGCAGCAGACCCTCATTGTCATTGGTTTATCAACAACAGAAAATATTGCAGCTATGATTAAAATGGGATTCTAGATACAGAGGAGCTATTGCAGTCTGAAGCAATAGACGCTAGTTACGCACCCTCTGTGTTGTCGGATTTGCCCTGAAGGGTCAATGACTTGCGAGGAAAGGCACATGAGTACTTTTCCTACCCGTTGGATTTTACTCACAACTGTGATTGTGAAGGTGCGTAAAACTGGATCCTCAACTACCAGTAGGAGAAACCATCAAGGTGAATCAACAATGCCTTTAAACGAAACTGCAGTTTCCGATTAGCGTAAAATTACTGAGAAAATGGTCCGGAAAACAAAGGCTAGGCTCTCGCTATGGTCTAATTTTTCCAATACTTAATGTTCTCACTCGGGGACTGTATTGTTCACATGATCAGACTGTGTCGAAGCGGTCAGTACATTCTCGACTCGAGCAGTTCATAATTACTAATTTAGAGTGACGATCACATGGTGAAATTTGAAACATGCCACTTCTTAGGGCCTATGTTGCAGTCTGATCCCAAGCCTACTCAATGGTGGTTGTACAATAAAAAATAGAATTAAGTTGAAAGGAATGTATGTGTGTAACGCGTCGTGATACATTCATCAACTAATCACTTTCAGACGGATCTTTATTATCGGTTCTTTTCACTTTGAACTAGTCAGTGTTCCAGTTGGGTAAATTCGTTGGAACTTCACATGACAATCAACCGCGACATGTTTAATGCAAGGTGGAAAGAGAGAAAAGGATACATTAACGGTCGGTTGGCATAGCCACCGTTCATGTGCATCACGTAAGTACATCCATCAGCTGGTCTGCCGGCAATGGAGTAGCATCCGTGCAACACATGAGATGAATAGAAGCCGCGATGTTCGTAGAAACGTCGGGCATGGGAATTCGTGCGCAACACGTGCAAGTAGATAGCACAGCATCCCGGTGGACAAGGGGGAAACGAGTCTAGTAAATCTGAGAGGGAGTTGTAAACGTTTTCACCAGACGAAACGACACTGTCGTTCGAATCGGAGGAAATCTAGAGTGGGGTAAAGCAAAGAACAGCCATGATGGACGGTTCATTTCGTTTTGGGAACAAAAAGACAATGTACTAACATTAGTTAGTGTAAAAATAATGAACTAAAGTCAAAGTAACTGGACGTTTACACTAAAATCCTTCAACAACCGGAAATTTTATCATTTGGCAACAAGTGATAATAGGGGGATAAACGTACCGTATATACTGAAATCACTTAACCCGAAAAATTACATATACGGGTGGAACATAGGTGAAAAGAACCCGCAACGTGCAGTTCAGCTTTAACAAACATTAACTATGAACTTTAGTGCGCCAGTTTGGGCTCCCCATTTGCAAAAGCAGCAAATTCAAGGGGAAGACAGAAAGTTTATGTAAACTGGGGTTGTGAGAATATTGACTAGATGCACTAGCGCCACTGTTTGTGACACTGAACCATATCACTCATTGTCTCTAACCACCGGTTGCCATGATCTCGGGGTCCCCCATCCAGGAAGTCTAACCGAACCTATGCGACCCACTGTCCTGATTAGGGGTTTCCTGCCCTCATACCAGGTCTTAGTTTGACTACACTTCACCACTTCCCATCCACTGACTGTCTCGGCAAACATCTTTTTCATCTTTTCTTTTCATTTTACTTCCTTTTATTGAATATTGAAAATACAAAAATACAATTTTCGGGAAGGGGGAAACGGCCAATCAAAGGGCTGCCATTCAACACACAATGGGGGAAGTCAGGCGGTGGTGGTGGGATTCGAACACATCCCCGGGGTGATCATTTGATGACGTTACCACCGGGCCACCACCGCCCAATAGCTAAACGTGGCAACCTATTTGGTGATATGCGCAGCGCATTCCAACCAGCTTAATCCATGGATGTCGACAACTCGTTCCAGTGGACCATAGCGATTATCTAAAACTCTGCACCTAACCTCAGCATTGCTCGTCGGTTTCCCCGCCAGACTTTTACAATGCGACTTAGACAGTGTTGTTCGAAAACCGACCATCTATTTTTGTCCTGTACCCGCAGTGGTTGAGTCTGTGTACCGCATAGTGGCACTGACTTAACAGCTGCAGCTTACACTCCACTCTTCACGGACATCCGGATGTAGCAACGGCGCCACAGATGTTTCAAGTTGGAAAACGCCAAAGGAGCCTTCTGCATGCGAGCTAAAACTTCACCTGTGAGGCGTCCACCAGGTGAGATATAGCTGCCTAGACAGCAAAAGTTGTTTTCTTTCTCTATTACTTCCTCAGTCAAGATAATGTTGACGGCTGGAGCAACCCAATCTTGTACCAACATTTTACACTTTGAAGGTGCAGAACGCATACCGAACACCAGCGTTGAAACTATCTAGAAAAGCTTGCAAATTACCTGGATCTTCACTTAGTAACATACTGTCGTCTGTATACTTTAGATCAGACAGCTTGCCACCTGGGAGTAAATCGATGCCGCTATCTTCGCATGAGGATAGGGCACACCTCTCAGAGCGAAGCAGCGGCATAGTTTAGAGCGGTCACCTGGGTCAAAAACCGCGATCAGAGAGAGGAAGATAGAAATGGCGGCTCGATGAGAGGATTGTCTGGCTTCTGGAATTTGACGGAATGAAGATGTGGTCTATACAATCCCGCGATACGCAGACAAAGATTACGTCATACTACTGCCAATAGTTAGGCAACCTGTCTTCGTGCCACGCACTTTCGTCCTTAACCGTGTTTTCATCTCCACAGCATTATGGAATTAACCCTAATTAAATGAACTCGATATAATTTGTTGTGTGGTATCACGGTACAACACAATGGGCGTTTGAGTGGGAAGTGGGAGAAAAAAGGATATAACCGGAGAACTACGGCTACAGGGCATCATTTTGGTGTCAGCAACTGAACATAGACAAACATACAAGGGAAGTTGAATCATGAGTATCCTAATGATGGTAGGTTGTCAAAATTCTTCGGGAACCCCATGTTTGGGCTTCATTAATTTGGCTGTATCGAGCCACTGAATAAATCATAGGTCACTGATGCGCGTAACGTGATTTGTGTAGTAACCGCATACATCGTCTCAATGCAGGCTTCTCGAATAATCGTTTTCCGGTAGACTTTCTGGTCCGAATGGCGATTTCACATGCAATGAAACAGAACACATGGAGGTGTGTAGGATTTCATTTACTGTACCAAAAGTATGCTTGTACAGGAAGAGAGAAGAAAATGAATATACACGATGGCAGGGTTAACTGAATCGTCAGCTGTCGTGATTATTTGCTTATTTTGACCAATCACCTGCATTCGGTAAACCTACATCTCACCAATTATCCCAGACTAAAGCGGTTTTG